GGGGGAGGGTGGGGCCGCCCCCGCCAAGGCAGCGCAGCGCGGGGGGCTGCGGGTGCAGCTCGTTGCGGGGGCTGGTGCAGGGGTGCAGGCTCCGCTGGGGAGCGAGGGTGGGATAGCACGGAGGGTCCTGAGGGCAGAGCCTCACTCTTCCCTCGCAGATCTCACTGACAGCAGCAGTTTCCAGCGGGCCAAATTCTGGGTGAACGAGCTGCAGAACTTCGAGGAGGTAAACGGCAGCAAAGGGCTCATGCTGTTGGGCTGGGAAAGACCCTCTGGATGTGCCAAGGACAAGCAGGAATTGGGGTTTCACCTTCCTGCACAAAACTGTTTCTGTGCGCAAGCAGGACACCGTGCCCGCTTGGGCACCGGGCAGCTTGCTGTGAGTCTTGCTGTGCTGGGTGGCAGGGCGTCGCGGGAGGAGCAGGGGCTGTTTGTCCTCGCTCGTCCCGCTGCCGGCGTGCGGCTGCTCTGGGGAAGGGAGGGAAGGAAGGGCCGGTGGCAGCGCCGGGGCGCGCGGGCACCTCCGACCAGGCGCTCCTCTGCCTGCCGCAGAACTGCCGCATCTACCTGTGCGGCACCAAGAGCGACCTGCTGGAAGAGGACAGGAGGAAGCGCGGAGTTGACTTCCACGACGTGCAGGACTATGCGGACGGTGCGTCTGCTGCGTGGCGCGCGCGGGCGGCTGCTGCTCCCTCCCTGCTCCCCGGGCTCTTGAGTCACCGCATGCGGCACCGCTCCAGCAGAGCCGGGAGCTCGCTGGGTGTCCCACAAGCGTCCAGCCTTCCTGTCTTCCCCCAGGGCCAAGCAGGGCTGGGGGGAGCTGGAAAACGTAGCTATGGTTCCTGGGAAGGGTTGTGTGGCGCAAGGAGTTGCCACCCCTGCCCGGCGCAGAGCCCAGCAGCACCTCCAGTGGCTCTGGGTGAATGGCAGGAGCAGCTTGTGGCTCAGACTGGCCTAGGCTCCCTGCGCAAGGAGTCTATGGGCTTTCCAAGAAATCCCCTGAGCACAGCATGTCCTGACAGTGCGGACACAGACGGGTGGGAGAAGGCGCTGGGAAGTGGTGCCAAGCCGGCTGGGGAGAGCAGGGTGGCGGGAGCAGCTTGTTGAACCCTGTCCGGGGCTCCAGCCAACTTGCCCTGTCCGAGACAGCAGCCACACATGCAGGACAGCTCAGCTTGTGGGGCCGCATCTTGCACCCATGAGCACTAACTTGTGCTCGTTGTTTCAGAGATCAAGGCCGAGCTGTTTGAAACCTCCAGTAAGACGGGGCAGAGCGTGGGTGAGTGTCCCTCTCCGAGCAGGGCCTGCGCTGGGGCGGATCCGGTGGGGGCAGGGCCAC